TGGGGGGGGGGGGGGGTTGGAATGGTCACCTGATGCCGTCGCTGCTCCCCGTCCTTCTTGGTGGAGGTCACCCCGAACATGCTTGTCTTGTCGAGCACGGTGCAAATGCTGCGGCCCGCGCGCCCGAGGGGCGGCGGCGTCGAATCACGCCCACCACGACGATGACGATATGACGATATGACGATCACAAGCACCACCACCGCGACATCGGTCGTCAAACAGCAAACGTGGGAGGACAACGTTTCGTCCAAGAAAAAATAAGGGGTGGACACGAAACAGCTATTAATACTAGGCCAAGAGCGAGAGGGAGGGAAAGAAAGGGATAGAGAGAGAGACAGACAGACAGACAGAGCCATTGCAAGCCACGTAGCGTGCGGCCAGCAGAGAGGTGGGGACTGTTTTCATCACGCCTGCACCAAGACATAGCAGGCCGTCAGTGGGTACGGCGAAAAATCGGAACGCGTCGCAACAAACACAACAAAAACCAAACGGTATGCATCAAAGGCGAGCACCGAAGGGGAACGGAAGGAAAGGAAGGTGGAAGAACAAAAAACAAGGTCCTGTGAACACAGTCCTCCTTGCGGTGTGACCTCGGCTGATACATCGAACGTACACCGAAAAGCGTAGGCTGGCACCAGAATGGACGCGACGAGACCTTGCCAACAACGACAGAGGTAGCACCACTTGAGTGTGCGGGGTGCGGGGTACGGAAAGAGTGGTGCACCTGTGGAAAGGAAAGCGAGCTTGTCCAGCGACCGAAAACACGTGGAACATTATCGCAAGGCATTGCCTAGCACGAAGTACGCGCAGATTGCACACAAAAACAGCAACAAAAACGAAAAACAGGTTGGTTGCACGAATACACAGCAGCAGCAGCAGCAGCAGCAGCAGCAGCAGCAGCAGCAGCGGCAGCGATCGTGTCGTGAGCACGTACACACGAAAGGCTCTCTCACCGAAAGTTGGGGTTGTTGAGGAAGCCCAGCTCCGTGAGCTTGAGCTCGAGCCACCTCCAGGAGGTCTGGCTCCAGATGGCCAGGTCGTAGTGCTCGTACACCGTGGTTAGGAACGAGTCCATGTGTGGCCGTTTCATCTGCTCGGGGCTCGCCGTTTCCTGGTCAACGGACCGATATTCACGAACAGCGAAACGCGGGGGATGTTGAATGACCCAAATCATATTCACCAACAGCGAAACCACGAGGCATGCTGAAGGAAGGTCTTTTCGTCTCATGAGAAGCGCATGGGCTCACTCGCCCTGCGTGAACATTCCACGTGGAACATGAACAACCAAAGGCCGGACGGCAAAACGTCGACAAATCCAGGCAACGAGTTCGGTTTACCCTTTTCCCCGTTCTCCTCCCACATCTGAAAACATAGACCGGAAGACAAAACTTCGACATATGCAAGCAACGAAAGTTGGCTTGTTGCCCTTATCCCCGTTGTCCTTCCACATCTCTCAAAACACAATCCGTGCACGTAGACATGTTCGACAACGATTCGATACCTCACCCGCGTGGTGAAGTCTAGCAAGGTGTGGTCCAGGTCCAGGACGAGAAGGGCCTTTCCGTCTCGTGGGGGATTCATGAAGTGTAGCTTCAACACACGTACAGGGGGGGGGGGGGCGCACAGCGGGGGGGTCATGATTGCGCGCGCTGACGTGGACAAAACATAGTTTCCGGCCCGTTCGGGCATGGGCAAGTACTCTACGCGTATTTCCTCATTGCCGTTTGCTCTATCTACCCTTGCACCAGCATCAAATATTTCATCGTTGTAATGGTCAACTCTTGGCAAGTCCCAGCATCATCTACTTCATTGCTCCACCCCTCTCCAAAATAGCCTATTTTCTTTCATTGTCGTTTCCTGCTCTGAAATAACGCCATTTTCGTACATGCCGTGGTCTTTCTCTCACCTCCGTCTTCTCCGTGAACTTGGCCAAATTGTCCGAGTTTTCTATGGCCTGCCTCCACGCCTCACTAGCGTGAGACACGTCCAAATCGAAGTCTGCCGCGGCAACGAGAGAGGGCACGCGAGAGCGAGCAGGCAAGACAGGAGCGAAGGGGCTGCTGTGTCAACTGCTTGTGTCACGTGCCTTTCGTCCCATCTGCATCTACCCGGCGCCGGTGTAGGGCACAGACACGCAAGTATCGACCAAGCGTATATATGCGCAACACTATATCCCGGCCCGGAATACACGCCCATACGATACAACACTGTACGTGATACATGTGGCAAGACAAAACACGGCGAAGGAGATCAGTCTCTTATCCCCCGTCCCTCCGTCCCTCCCTTTCTGCCTCTCTGTCTCTGTCTCTGTCTCTTTGCCTCCCTATCTCGCTCTCTGTCCGTATAGATTAATTCCCTCACTTTCTCCCCCCCTCCCTATCTCTCGATCTTCCTCTCTTCATCTCTCCCTCCCCCTACAACAAGCACACAGACACACGCGTGTCTTGTCCTCTATTGCTCTCACCGTCAAAAACCTCTGGTAGGTCTTCCTTTTCGCCAGGGTCCACGAAAATCTCCGCCTTTGTTTCCCAGAACAAACGGAAAAACGGGAAGAGAAGGAAAAAAGCGGACCGAGCGAATGAAAAAAAAAAAAAAAAACACAAACAAAGCCAACAATGAAGAAGCGTCAGGATTCGACCGCACATGAAACGCTGAGAGAGTCGAGAGAGAAGACGCTTGTTTCCAATCCAGCAACACAGCGTACGGTCCAGCGTCACCGCGAAATGAAATGCTTCAGCAGGTCCCCAAAAGGGGGGTAATTTTTTTCTCTAACCTCTTTGTTTGCACGCAGCGTGTGACGTAGGACTCACACAACAAACCAAAATAACGTAAATACTCCCTTTGGCCACACGCAGCCACCCCTAACATACGCTGTACCCACCGCACTACACCATTGAGTACGACGAGAACCCCCCCAAAGGGGGGTAGACAGCGTACACCGGGTTGGTACATGACATGGCACCTGGATCGATGCTCTCAGGCCCAATTTCTCCACGACGAAGAGGACGCAAACATCAACATGATAACATTATTCGGTTTCGAAAATTTCTGGACGAGACTGTTCCAACCAATGCCGCCACATTTCATTGGCACCACCACCGTCAGCACGCTTGCTGACGGATAGAGCTTCGCATAAGATGTCCCAGGGGGTGTTGGTTGATATCTATCGTATGCAAAACTACGGACGGTGCCCCCGACCTCTGGGGTGCCCATGAGGATGAAGCGGTGCGGAGTCTTGAGACGTATCCGCTCCAGGGGACAATCGTCCGCTGCCGGCCTCCCGCCGACGCTCAGGCCGACGAGCTTCTGCCGCTTCGCCAGGACGCGCGTTTTTTCGCAGAGAATTTCCTGTTGTTTTTTCGCATTGAGGATGGGGCAGGGGGGGAGGGCGGAGCGTATCGCGGTACAGGTTGCACCATATTTCGACATCAACCCCCTGCGAAATTTCACGCCGAATACGGCATTATTCTTGGTACTTGTTGATGGGTTGCAAAATACCCCCCCCTCCCAATGGTCAAGCACCCTCGAGGCAGTTATGCAGTGCTTACAACTGTCTCTGGAAGTGAAAGCACCAGAAAGTAAATTAAGTTATACGCAGCTGTCATCCGTACGCAAGGAAGTAAGCACAAGATGCCGAAAACCCTTGGCAGGATGCAGCGCACCCTTCATGCGACTCGCCGAATATCTCACGGCGCTTCGCGCTTGGTGATGTGAGAGCCTGGTCCGGTGAGAACCCGGCGTGCTCCGTCCCGGCTTTGTAGGGATGCGAGGTCAATGGTCTAACGACTACGGCATGCACGACTATGAGTACACCCCTCCCCCCACAAACGACGCACTTTGCAACGAAACCCCCGGTGTGTAGCACGTCCAGCGGGCATCATGGCAACCAGTTACTTGACAGGGAGTAGCATCGCGCTTGAGGGAATCCAGTGTTGCGAACGGCACTATTCCACCTCTCGAATAGTACCGGCAGTTCCGTTCTCAGCAAACCCCTTCTATTAGTGGCACCCTCTCCAGAGCGGCTACTACCCTCTCCAGAGCGGTTACTACCCTCCGCAGAGAAACAACTACCCTCTCCAGAGCAGTTACTACAGCTGATCCGGTCTGAGCTGGGCATGTAACCTTGTGTTTCGTGTGTGCATGGGCGGACTTGGACATATGAACCAACCGCGCTGAATTATGTTGTGTCGCATATAGGAACTGGTAGTACCCTGGGTGGGGCATATGGTACATCCACAGGGCTCGGGGCTCTGGGATTGCGCGCAGCGTGCTCTCTCTCTCTCTCTCCCGGCACCTTGTCTAAGAGCCTTGATCTCCCTGTTGTCGATTCTATACCACCAAGTGAAACACAAGCTCATTCAACACATGCAAGGGTGAAGCAAACACCGCGTTCAAAAACATCATTTCTTCTAGTTCAACCCCGAGAAGAGAGCGCGTGTGCAAGGTTGAGGCCATGTGTACGATACTCAAAGCAGATTTCCTCCTCTACAATCTGCCGTCCGCCTATAGCAAAAAATACAACATAACCCTGACCCAAGCTCAGGATCGGAAGCCCGATTGTTGGGGACGTTTTTATTTACATTTTTATTCGATTTGAATGTTCGGGTGCGCTTCCTTGACTCTCCAGATCGCCACCCCTAGAGTCAACCGCATCCGAAGCAATCGCTGGAGCCGAGATACTCACCTCACGAGGGCGTAGGTTGCTGTCTACAGCAGTAGGTATCATACTTTGCAACACGTATGCGCTTCGTTGGACGGTCTCACTGGCAACATCGGTGTGAGTGCTGGTAATAGGAGTTGCAGTTAATTCGGTGGTGGCATTGGCTCCATGCTCGGTCATGGAAACTGGATCGTTTTGTGTCAAGTGGGGGTTGTGGGCATCATTGCGAGGATCTTTGGCCATCTTGTCGATCGAATAGTTGTTCGGCGGCCGGATTTAGAGTCAGCTGCGCTTCTCGTTTTCGCGTTGGAGGGTGTCAATCGGCTGGATCCAGGAGGCTACTGCTGTACGACGTAAATATGGCATCAAAACGTCTCACACACGGTGCTTGCGACATTTCGGGCAACAGGGGGGAAACATCTTGTTGTCTGTGTAAGCGCACGGATCGCGAAACAGTTACCGTATATGACACAAGATACCACACCCCCTGGACCGATGTTCAAAGCTCGATTACTCCACGACGAAGGGGATGATGCATAAACGAAATGATGCATTTTCGGAAAGTTCTCGACGAGACGGTTTCAAAACCGCCGTTTTCGGCGCTGTGACTGCTGTTCGCCAGTTGAGAAATCGAACCTCGAAAATCGGTCAAGGGTGTGTGTTATCTTGTGTCATATACGGTATGTAGGTGAAACAAACAAGCGTGACCCAGCAACCGAGAAAATGTTGTACCCTTTGTGTCGTGCAAGTGCACCCGCCGAGATTTGTTACTACGTTGTACAAGTACAGCAGTAGTGCGGGAGATTCCGGACTGTGCCTCGCCTCTACTACACAAGTAGCGTTGTTGCTTGAGGTGCTGTATGGAACAGTTTTTCCTCCCCCTATACACGTGTCTTCCTTCGCTGCCGAGACCAATGCACCCACCTTCACCTCCCCTATCGTAGTGCTCCTCGGCAACACGGGCAGCTCAATCGTGCTTCCCTGCCATTTCGCGACGAGAGTGCAACTGGCGGCAGCAGCAGCAGCAGTAGCCGTGGTAGCAGCAGCATCTACCTCACCGGACGGAGCCGCCGCCGCCGCCGCCGCCGCCACAGCTGCAGCAGCAGGGGCTGGCCCTCCTTCTCCGCTTTCCTCCCAGCCAGCAGGACTCTTCGGCTGTGCTAAAGCACTCATATTCGTCTCGAGGAGAACACGGTCTGCTTCACAACTTCCAACGGGTTCAGCAGGATGTAGTGAACACGCCGTGCCTCTGTTCACCCTGTTGCTGTTTTTTCTCGCACAAAAAAAAATGGCTGTACCTGTACAGCCAAAGTACAGCAGCAGTATTCACAGCACCCCTTTTTCTGGATGGTTGGCCTGTGACCGCGGAAGCCACCTGCGCGTCGGTTCGACCGGTACGAATGGACGCGAGTATTTGGTATGGAGCAGAGACCAGAGACCTTCCGCACCGAGACACAGGACAACACGCATAGGGATGCCTACCCCCCCCCTCCAAAATACATTTTCTATAAATTTCAACACACGTACCCTCCATGGTAGTGAAATTGTGACCGCGGGCCCCCCGTGTTCAGTGGCCGCTTCCCAGGTAGGCAGCGCAGGGAAGTAGCACTGCCGCTTGGTATGGCGCGTTTCGCGGGTCTAGGGCTGGAACCCATCCTCGCGGATAGCGACGATGACGATGGAGACATGGCGTTTAGGAGAGGCGGCTTCGGAATAAGAGGAGGCGAGGACCGCAGAGGGAACGGGGGAGGCGGAAATGACGCGGTGAGAAATAAAAAGTTGGGCTATGCTAGCTGTGCGTGCTGTGTGTACCTTGGTGCTGCTGCTGCTTGTGCTGCTGCTGCTGCTGCTGCTGCTGCTGCTGCTGCCGGGATCTGGTCGACTATTCGCTTTTCCTGCTGCCCTGACTACCGTGCTGCTGTATCTCAAGTCTCATAAGCGTCCCTTGCACGAGCTTATGGTGCCAAAGACCCTGCCAAGAGTAGTAGACAAGCAACATCCGCACATGAGAGAGGGGCCGTTGCTGCCTCGTTTGTATGTTTGTATGTATTGCTATATTGTAACGACCAATGTTATTTTTTTCACGCAGCAAGAAATTGCGAATATTTGCAGTCGCAAGAGAACAACAGCAGGTGATGGTGGAATTGATTGCCCAGGGGCTTGGGCTGCACCGCAGTTCATGCCCACACCACTGCGGCGTGCTGGTGTGAAGCACGCTTTGTCCCGCGCGACACAAGCACTACTCCACGCCTAGCCAGAAGTAAACACAGGAGAGAGAGTGGGCAATAGCAGCATTGCAGCCACCGCGGCACAGCTGCACAGCAGCAGCGGCAGAAAACAACATCAGTCCTTCGCACGTTGACAGGGGTTAAAAAGAACAGCAACGAACGACTTTTTCTTTTCGGTTTGGACGTTTGGACCGTAGGGTCAAAAGAGCAGGAAATCGCAAACCATTGTACATGACGCATCGCCGGTGTTTACTTGCTGAAGAAAAAATTGTTGCAGGGGCGGCGATGAGTTTTTTCAGTTCAGCGATCTTTCTACAGAGGAGGGCAGGGGTTGCGCATCACCCGAGCCTAACCCGTGCGTATACCCGAGTTGTTGGTTCCAAAAGTAGTTTGCGTGTGTGCTCGGTGTTGTAGTTTTTTTCATCTTTTTTTTTATGCTCCCTCCGGTCGGACGTGTGCGCCAGGCAGCCACGGAATAACCACCGCCCCCCAAAAGTTGCGTCGTGCTGATATATACCTCTTCCGCCGCCGCTGCCAAGCAAAGACCTATTGTATCTTTGTTGAAATATATCCTTCCGACGAAGAATGCCTTCTACGGCGGGTGAAACATTGTCGTAGTACAGGGACGCAGGGCGGGCGGCGGTAGATAAGCGTGCTGTTGGTCGGGAGCCACAACGAACGACCTCGGGCGCAGACAAGCCTCAAATGTCCAACCAATTCTGACCCCCGCATCTGTATGTAGGTAGGCGCCACAAGGGAAAAGTTTGGCCTTGTATCCATACGTACCACCTTGCAACGCCAAAATGAACGGGTGTTCATTTTTACAGGTGTGACATGTTTGATACATCTTACGCATGGTTCAGAGATGAACTGGAGCTGCTGCTATTGTCCGTGGCAGATAGATACATCAATCGCACTCGCCCTCGAAAGGCGGCTAGCGTTGGTTGGGCCTTGATGTGCTTTCAAAAGCAAGCGTGTAGGTTGGTTGGGTGGTTGGGAGGGCGGCGGGCGGGCGGGCGGGCGGGTGTACACAGCGAGAGATCAAATCCATGGACATGGAGCGGGAGGTTGGGTGTCTGCAGATGATGGGTCCCGCGCTAAACGTTGCGCGTGTGCGGTGCACGTGAAATCTTGATGCTGGTGGAGATTTGGGAGGGCTCTCGGCACGAACGGAGACTGCTGAACTGCGGTCACTCGACGGGGTGTGTGTGTTTTCTTCATTGCGTGAGGTGTTCTTTGATGCCGTGGTGCTGGTAGAGAGGGTGTGTGTACGCCCCATGTGCCCTTGGAAAGCGAAGGAAAAGACGTCACGGGCGGACAGCAGTCTGTTGCTGGCGCCGCCGCCGCCGCTGCTGCTGCTGCTGCTGCTGCTGCTGCAACCGTTACCTTGTAGTCTGTAGTCTATGCATACAAGAACACTGCAGCGTCCCGGCCGTCCCTCTGAAGATTTGAAACTTTGAGGAGAACCACTTCAGCGTTGAGCTCGAGCTTACAGCAGTTTCGGACGGTTGTTGAATTTTCAGATGTACGCAGAAATATGCATGGATTCCACGAGCCTGCAGGAGTTTTCCGATTTTTGGCGACTGCTGTCTGTTGGGGACATTTGCAGACATCGCCCCTGGGTTTAGAGTCTCGATGAAACGAGACTCTATAACCTGCTGTCTCGATGCTGCTTGCACCACAACAGACCAGGGAGGTGCTGTCTCGAGCCCGGCATGTGTTCGGCATGCTGTGGTGATGGCGGCGGGACAAAACCTCATACAGTGGGCGGCAGTACAGAGCTTGAACTTGCAAGTAGTTCGGTCTGATGCCCCACACCCCACACACAAGGACTGCCGTTGTCGCTCACGCCAGGCAGAAAAACAGCGCGAAAGCATTGCTGCGACGAGTAGCCGTTGTGTGCCTGCCAGCCTGTCCATGTGCATCAAGAGCGCACCGCGATCCCTCGGCTCTTGGCGCTGGTTCGATCGTTCTACACGTGCTGCTCTGCTGGGTTATGTCACTCGCGGTCAGGTCAAATCCGCGTTTCACCCCTCACTGGGCACTCTATTATATAGCCTAGCCCGAAACAATAGGATGGGCCTGTAGTCATTTGGTTGGTTACGTTGTGTCCAGGGTGGGTCCCCTTCCAGCGCCTGGTGCACGGCAGACGGCCCGCCCTTGTGAAAGTTTTGCTGAGATCAAGAAAAGTTTCAAAACAAGCAGGCCTTCAAACTTGTTACTCCGCGTATCTATCTTCTACATGAATCAGAGCTTCCTCACTCGGAAACTGTAGATCTGCATTAGGCGGGACTGTAAGAACCGTTCCAAGAAACGGCCTCCAAACCTGAAGACTTAAACGCATTTTTCTGGGCACCTCCCCAGAGTCCGAAACGGTCGAACTTTGCTTGATGGAGAGCAACGAGGGTACTCACATCCATTTTGCTGTATTTCGACGGCGTAGAAACCTCTTTTCGTTCTCACTGAGGCACATGCAGTTGCCGACTTCTGTATCATCTAGGGTGCCTTGTTTTTTGTACATGTTTTTTTATTTCACAAACGGATGCTTGATACATGGTGTAGCGGTTATATCCACCAGAAGATTACGCTGTCTTCTTTCGCGATAGCCCGGCGGTGTCTCGGGGGACCCATGGACCAAACGGATCTGGCCCGGCCGCACGGGCATGCTAGCGCCGTCCAATCAACGGAAGCAGTTCTTCCTATGCAGTCGCTCTTTTGCGCTGCTGGTTGCCGGAGTGGTACTCCTCTCGACATCTGCCGGTGGTTCTATTGCCTTCATGCAACCCACGGCAGTGAGATGCTTGAATGGAGTTTTGGTGGGGGCGTGTACTAATAGCCGTTCGTGCATGCCGCAGTCGTTAGACCATTGACCTCGCATTCCTACAAAGCCGGCAAGGAGCACGCGAGTGAGGGGAGAGGGTGGGTCATGACTCTGCGCGGAGGCGATGTCACGGTGTCTATATCATGTCTGACAACCGTCGGTCGTACCGTGTGATTGCGTCTCGAATCGTATCGCGGACACTGAAGTTTTTCATCTTCAACACTGCTGTGTATCTACCTACCTGCTGAAAGGTCTACCCGTTCTTGAACACGGAAGGGTTTAAGCAGCAGTAGGGGGGTGCTATCTACCGTATGTTGGTGTTTCAACTACTAGGATTTAAAATAGTAGCAGCCTTACTGTCACGTTCACCCAAACCCCCGCTTTCGGCCATCGGTGCTTTGCTATTTCACCGCAGATGACCGACACTTGGCAGAACGAGTTCGGCAACATCAAGGTCAACGACCGCGGCATGCGGGTCGCGCAGAGGGACGGGCAAGAGGAGCTTCTTTTGGAGGGGCAGGTGTGTTCAGCCGTCCCGTGCGTGGGTGTGTACATGTGGTCTTGTGTTTTGTTTTCTTTGATACATTTCCTGTTGTGGCGGCAGTCGTGGGGGCGGAGAGGAAAGGCGTGGAGGCCGGGGGGGGGGGGGGGG